GGGGATCACAGCCAGTAACTGGATGTTGTCATCAGAGAAGAGTAGATGGGTTGGAGAGGAACTGGAGAGCCAACTCAAACTGATTCAAGCAGAGACACTTTTCTTTTTTTCTTATTTCTTTTTTTCAAACTGCTGCCTCTTATGGAGATCAGGGCAAGGAAAGAAAATCATCTCCTTGCAACATCACGTAAATATGGTCTTTGGTGTGCTAAAGTGAGGTTAGAACCTAACTCATACTCCTTCTCTTGGTTACACTCTCCCCTTCCCCTGTGTTCTCTAGTGCATAGTGTTATCTTTTTGTTCCCTCTGCAAACCATCTATGCATGCCCTAGTTCTCTGCTGCTGCCTAGATGCCTCTTTCTGCTAGCTCAACACTTCTTCACGAGTGTTGTCCCCTGAGGCCAGCTCAGGGAAATTAACTGAATGAAGCCCAAGGAGGCTTTAGTTAGCTACTCTGATTTTCCTGACCTGCAGGGAAGCCATGGAAATGGTGCAGACAGTGGAGCAGCCCTGAGAAAACTCAAGTTTCATCTGAGGCTTACATGGTTCTCAGTAATACCCAACAGCATGATGCAATCTTCCTCACTCAAGGCGTGGCGGGCATGAGGAGGACTGAGTGCTTGCTTTGGGTCCCTCTTCTAGAGCAAACAAATACATTCTCCCTTCTACACATACACACACACACACACACCAGTGTATATAAAATATTTCCACTCCTTCCACTTACTGGGCACTCAGTAATATTTTGAGTCCACAGGCTCATGTTGGAGCTGTCTTCAATGGTGGTGCATCGCTTCTGCTTATTATCCCAGCCACAATAGGGGTCTCTGGCTCCTAGGCATTCCCTGCATGCGCAAAGAGAAAAGATTAAAGCTCTTTAAGACTGTCTAGCTCTAAAGACATGTATTCAAGTATAGTGCTTGTATATGACAGCTGTCAACTGCACCAAGGCACAGCAGAAGAAACAATTTCTTCTAAGCAGAGGTTTACCTGCTTGGAAGGGGAGAAGAGCTGAATAGAAGGGTGATAGGATACAAAGCAAATACCACTCATAGAAGCTGTAGATTAAAAATCAGTTCACTCCTCTCCAAGGAACTTTACAAATTTCAGTCAAAGAACACTTGTCATTGAGATATCTTTGTGCCACCATGTAATCACTCAGCAGGCCAAATCTCACACAAAGCAACCTCTGTGAGTATGTTTTCTGACACTGTGTCCATCCAAAGGGGTTAGACAAGCAGAATTAGCCAAAGGACCAGTAATAAAGGCTTTCTATTAGTCTTGGCCCTTGCTGGAACAATGGTTTCATTTATAATCCCAGCATCAAGATGTCAGTTTGGAAAAGTCACAGCAGAACATTATTTCTAAGCTTTTGGCTGCTTTGAACACTACCGTATTCATTTTCCTCCTGAATCCATATTTACAGGCTAAGTGTGTGTCCCCAACATGTGAGCTGCTAAAGAAAAATAAGCAGGGTTATTACTGACGTTAAACAGAGGTGGTCAGTTGCAGAATTAGTCTGAATCAATAAAATTCAGCTGTATTGGTAGTTCCCATAAGTTGCGTTCAACTTGTTAATTTTCATTAAAAACTGTAACAGTACAAGCCACATCATGGTTGGTGAAAGATGAAAAAGAAAGGACTAAACTTAAAAATATTTGCTACACTATTTTTTTATTCCAATGATCTATTCTCTTCTATCACAAAATGCTGACAGGATCTTTCCAGAAGTCCCAAATTATTCGAAAACTGTCTACTAGACAGCAGCAAGGGACCAAGAGCTAAAACTCAGTTCAAGAAGCCAAACAGGAGAGTAATAAAATTTATTTTAAGGGTAAGTATCAGTATGATAAATAAAACATCCAAAAAAAAAAAAAGAAGTAAAATGTAATGAGATGTGAACTGTCCCCTCCCAGAAATCTTTGAAATCCTATTAGCCTGTCATCAGCTGCAAATGAAAAGGCAAGTCCCTTAAGCACAGCTGAAAATACTCTATCACCTGTACTGACTCCACAGTGATTTGTCCCAAAGAAAACCCTAAATTGTTTCGCTGTCTGGTACCCATTGCTTTACATACATATATAGACACACATACATACGTAAATATAATATATTTATATTATTAGTTTCCAGTTTGCTCCTGCATGGCAGCTCCTACATTTCCTCTAACAAAGATTTCACACACAGGGTTGTAAGGAACATAAGTTCCTCTTTCATGCTTTAGGAAATGATGGTATCACATTTTTCCTTCAGCTGCTTTAGCACACACAAGGAAAAGGCAAAGACAATTATGTCCTAGCCCCAGGCAATAGAACATCAAATATTTGTCTAGAAAAGACTTGGGATCCTCGGTCCAAGCACACAGAAGGGACATGTACTGCTTTGCTCATTATTCTGGCTAAGGACCCCCACCCTGCTGTTTGGCAACCCACACTACCCTCACCCATGATGAGGGGCTGCAGCTGCATTCAGAGCTGCCTTTGCCGTCCAACAGCCCCTTAGCGAGGGTAGCACCCACTTAATTGTGAAGCAGGTCATCTACCCACCCTTTTGGCTGCTCGGCACTTAAGTAGGAAACGGGACAGTTCCTAGAGAGAAGAACAGAATCATAGAGTCGCTTAGGTTGGAAAAGACCATTATGACCATTGGGTGCAACTGTTAACCTAGCACTGCCAATTTAAGAGAAGCAACACGGGGTGGGGAAGAAAAAGAAAAAGTCCCTGCTTTTAGTTAGAGCTCCTTTTCGTCAGGCTTTCAGACCCTGACACCACATACGCGCTATTGTTTCCAACTACATGAAGCCATTTCACTGGGCACCCAGTGAGCTGAGAGAGGTCATTGTAATTCATAACAGAGAAGGCTGTTGTGAGCATCACCCTATTATGATACACATTTTCTCTGAATTTAATTTATAGGAGAACATGTGCTGCATAAATTCAGGAAATAATCTCCATATGTTCTGTGCTGCAGCCCTCAGCCACTCCGCAGGATGCAATATATCACAGTTAGGCACTGACCACTTTGCTGGCACTATCATAACGTATGTCATGTAGCTAATGCACTGCTCTTGGCTGAGAGCGGCAAGCTACAGATCCCTAACTGTCCACTCAATGAATCACAGCCTGAGGTCCCTTGCTGCCACCACTGACCCTCAGCTGACGGGCCATCAGCAACCGAGCTGCAGAGCTGCCAGAAGGCCATGATCCTGGGCCCCAGGAAAAGCCCAGTACAGCACTCGTTGATGGGGAGCTACGGCCATCCTGTGCTGTGCTGTCCCTCTGCACTGCATCCTGCGTGTAACGAATTCCTACCCAGGCCGGGCTCTGCTGCATTGTCAAAACGTGCACTCTGTAATTTAACAACCATCAAAGCCCAGGACTTCTCCCCATCTGACGGCAGGCCCTCCAAACCATTTGAAATCTAAAACAAAATAGATATGCTGTCTGCCTCCCTTAGGAGCCCACTCATCTGCCTCAACTCTGGCAAGAAACCTATTATAACAGTTGACAGCCATACACTGAAGGGTGAGGAGGAATGTATTTACTTACACAAAATTTGCTCCATTTTTTTCCTTTTGTAAGCAGAAAAAGCATTAAAATGTGCATTACTGCAAGAGAACAACATTTCTGGCAAGTACTTTAAGTGAACACTTCAAAATCCACCCTAATTTATATCCTTACAATATCTTCAGAATATATATCCCTATTTATGTCATTAAAAGATAAAACCACACTAGCAAACACACAGCAAAAGACAAAAAGACAAATATATGTATGCATACATGCATGCACAGATCGAAACAGTTCAGAAATAATACTGTCATTCTTAGTAGATCGGGAACCACTGTGTAGAAAATGTAAAGATATCACAGCATTTCCCTGTGCTCAGAACTCAAATAAATTGAAATGTTTATGGGTAAATACCATTTTGTATTATAAGAGCACTGAAAAGTGTCACACAGGCCACGGGACACAAAGTCTTGCAGGGCAGTATGTAAATACTGTTAAATAAGGTACAAATGAGTCTATGAACTATAATGAAATGCTGATGTTTCAAAGGCAATGGGACTTCTGCCACTGGCTCACTGGGGCAGATTTCATACCATGCATACAGGGGACACCACACTTAGGTCTCCTCAGTTGCAGGCTGGGAATGCCTCAAGGAACTAATGACACACTGTTGTCTCCCATCGTAATTCACACAGGTAGAAGGAAGACATTATCCCACACGACTACCCAAGCATAGCAGATTAACACTGGCTATATTAATGCTAATGACATAGCTAATGAAATCCCACAAAGTGGGATGCTTCTGGAAGTTAAAATGGTGATGATACCACATGACCCGTGCCCTCGTTCCTCACTGGCCATCTTAGTGCATTTGTTGAGGACTCAGGAGAATGCCTCTTGACGGATATCTAAGAGGTTGGATTTATTATGACAGGGCATTATTACCAATAGTGATTCACTTTAATTCACTGCCTCATAATAAATGTGCTATCTGAGGCATAAAGGCATACACTGAAATGCTCAATTGAAAAACAATTCCATTTGTATCTCCTATTCAAGGTATTTTTTCCTCCAGTTCCTTTTTCTCACTTACCAAGGACATTTGCATGAAAATAAGATCTTACTCAAGAGCTCACCTGCTGCCTGCTGTTTGGGAGCTGTAAGCCTCCCTGTTGTTGGCTGTTGCAATCATTTCTACAGCAGTGATCTGGGATAACAAAACGATTAAGACTCCAAGTGGGGAACTACCCACAGCCCATTGAAGTCAATGGAAACTCTTACCTACGACTCAAAAGAGTTTTTTATGGGGCCTTTGAAGCCTGGCAGAGCTGAACCTTCATGAATAGCATGTGCTGCAAAAAGGCTTCTGCTTCCAAGATGCTGGTCCTGCCCAAGATGCCCTTTTTTGTAATAGCCTAAATGATGTCTTTGTTCAGAATCTTCATTAAAGCTTAAACATTTGTAGTTCAAAAGGTTTTCATTCCTACTTTCATTTGCTCTGGGTCTAGATAACTTTATCTGTTGGTCATTTTCCCCTGAGAGTTAAAACTTTAGACTGTGTAATAAATGGATCATCAAATCAATAGAACCAGACCCAAGAGATTAGGCTTTGACAGACCAAAGGAAAGAAATAATTACTAGAGCTTATTCTCATTCTTACCACCAGACAGAAGACACACAAAAATGCCCTTTTGTACCAAAAGCCACAAAACTGTCATGCAGAGCATTCACACTTAAGAACTCTGCTTCTCTCATCTGCCAGGACATGCCTGCTCTCCCAGTTTTCATTCCCTCTCTTTTCATTTACCCCCTTCTCACTCCGTTTTGATGACTAAAAGCAAATAGGAAGGAAATGACAGGATGTGGTGATCTGCAGAGGCAGGGCTCTAGACCCAAAGACTGAGAAGCTCTGTTCCCAAACTGTGTTTTCACAAAACACTGCCACTGCGCCAGGAGAGGGTTCTGCACTTTTGCTGATGAGTTTGGAACCTGCAGTGACCATCATGTTCACCAGGGAGATATGATAACTGTCATAAGACCTAGTCCTTTAAACCCTCATGGGCATCACTAGGTAGTTCATTAGAGGCACAGAAATAGTAGCGCTATCAACCAGTGGGGTGAAAACATTTATAAGCTTGATCCTGTAAGGCACTGAGCAAAGCTCATTTGTGCTCAGCATCTCAGGAGCATGGGCAGCACAGGAGATCACCTTGATCCTTTGGGCAATAAGACCTCAGAATTTCACACTGTTTTGTTGCACTGTTTGAGCACTTAGCTTTAAGGGAACAGCACTTCGCAAACAATCAAGAGGTTTTAGCTGTGTCTGTTAGTTGCAA